GTTTTTTTTGGGGGGGGGGGGTTAAAATGTGTTTTTAAAAATTTATAAATTTTTCTAACTTTTTCAGATCTGGAAATCACAATTTCAGAATTGCATTTTAAAGTATTTTTTACTCACAAACAGCAATTTCTCAGCAATTTTTACCCAATAAAATATTTTAGAGCATGACATAACTTCATATTCATTTAAAAAATTTCCATGACTCTTTAAGATTGTATTAATTTGCATAACTTTTTTCAGATCTAGAAATCAAAATGTTTTTAATTACATTTTTAAATATTACATTTTTTACTCACAAATAGCAAATTTTTTTTAGCACATTTTTTTTTTTAGCAATTATTAATTTGCATAATTTTTCCAGGTCTAGAGATTAAACTTTTACAATTCCCTCATATATCCATATTTTCCACGACTGAGAATCCTGATTCATAAATAAAAATCACTGTTAAGTGAAAGCATTAAAATAAGAAATACAAGATTAGTTTACATGTTATTTTAGTTGTTTTTGCTTATTTTAATGCTTGTTTTGTCTTGTTTTCATCATTGAAGGCATCTTGGTTTGGAAGTGTGCTGCTGCCCTCTAGTGGGCCCCGGGCCCCTGTACGAGAACCACTGCATGGTTATGTGTCTGAATGTGTGTGTCTGTGAATACTGTAAAGCTCATTCGAATCTGAATCTCATATGAAGCTGTTGAAATATCAGATCAAAAGCATCTTCAGGTTTACACTGCAGACGTATGCAGACAATGACTGCTGATACTGAATTCTGAAACTGTCTCTCTCTCTCTCTCTCTGTCTGTCTGCAGCGGTTTACCTCTGTAAACGAACCATGCAGAATAAAGCTCGGCTGGAGTTGGCTGATTATGAAGCTGTGAGCGTCTCTCTTTTCTGTTTGATGTGGATTAATGAAGATCTCATTCTCCAGAACATCTCATTCTGTACAGGATTTATCAACTGAAGTGTGTTTGATGAAGTCAGATGTAAGGATTGTATTTGCTGACTCTGTGTGTGTGTTTTCTACAGGAGAGTTTGGCGAGACTACAGAGAGCTTTTGCACGGAAATGGGAGTTTATATTTATGCAAGCAGAAGCACAAGCGAAGTGAGTGATCAGATCTCAGATCAGACGCTGGAATCGGCATCCGTGTGTGTGTGTGAGTGAGTGTGTGTGTGTGTGTGTGTGTGTGTGAGCTCACATCACTTTCTCTCGTCAGAGTGGACAAAAAACGGGACAAGATCGAGCGGAAGATCCTGGACAGCCAGGAGCGGGCCTTCTGGGATGTTCACAGACCTGTGGTGAGTTTGAGTCCCATCACAGGGAATAAATAATAAATAATAATTAATCTCAAATAAGAGTTGTGATATACAGCATGAATCCTGCTTATTCCCTTTTTGTGCTGACAATAAAATATCCGTCTTGAGTTTGTAATAAAAAAGGTAATTATAAACAAATATAAATGTAAAAATAATTTTTTGCATAATACATTTGACATAATTAAGCATTATTGTTTACAGTGTTGTTAATATTAAATGTATTTTGTCTGAAAACATTAATGTGATATTGAAATTCATATTTGGAAAAATACTTTTTACCTAGAAGTAGTATTTTTTAAATATTAATGAATATAAATAGTAGTTTTATAAATGTCAAATAAATATATATTAAACTATTAAATATTACTTTTTAGTTGTTTTACCACTTTAAATTTTTGTAGTAATTAAATTGAATTTTATTTAAAATAGTGTAAAGATTTTTTAAAATATGTATGAAAACAACAAATAATACTAAGATTTTTAAGATGTTTAATGTTTTTAAACTTATTTATTTATTAGTTTAAAAAAAAAAAGATTTATCCTTTTCATAATCTCAGGCATCTTTATTTGAATTATGACGCTGCTCACACACACACTCTCTCTCACACACACACACACACACACACACACACACACACACTCTCTCTCACACA